CCTGAAATGACTTCTCTTGAGCACCTTCCCGGGCACCAACCCACTTCCTTCACCTCTCCTCCCCCGCCAGCTAATCATTTTCTTTCCCGTGCTCCCACGTCATGCCAATCCCTGTTATAGCATTTGACACCCTGTGTCATCATTATCCAAGTATGTGTCTAACCCTCTAGACCATGAACTAGGGCAAGCCTTGGGTCTTAGGTACCTGTGAGTCCCCAACCCCTAACATAATTCCAAGTAGACAGTAGGTACTTAAAACTTGCTCAGTGAAGGACTGAATAACTAGGGTCTGGAGTGTTTGTCCTGTAGCTTCAAGTGGACAGCCCAGCTTTTCATGACCTGGGAAGACACCTGTATGGTTTTTGTTTTGTGTTGTTTTTGGTTTTGGTAACATGCTATCTTCTCTAAAGTGAATAGTGATGATCTAGTTCAAAGTTCTGAAAAAAGAATGGATAGAGACAGGATGGAGGTGAAGAAAGCAGAAATACTCTAATTTCATATGAAAAAACCATCTAGCTGTGAGCTTTGGTTTGCTAAGGACGAGTGGGGGCAGCCCTGGTCAGAGCATGTGGGGGGACATGGGCATGTCCTAGTCGACACCTTCCTCGCCTTGGGGCTTCGGTCACATGGAAAGTCATCTAGGTCTATCCCTCCGCCCCCAGGCTAGGAGCTACATCTGTTCCCTTTCTGTATGCCAAGGCTCAGGCTCTTATAGCCAAGAACCCTCCGAGGTTGTGAGTGCATTTTAACCGGGGCGATGTGGAAACCATGTCCTGCCTTTACTGTTCTTCTCAGTCAGGATATGATGCCCATCTTTTTGAATCCAAGCCCTCCCTCCTCTGGGAAGCCTTTTCTGAGAAAAGCCCACCAACTGTGAGGCCTCCAGTCTCACTTGGCTGAGTCAATATACAGCAGTGTAAGGATGTAAATGTTTTACATCGTCAGTATCCTCCAGCCTAAGACCAAAGAAACATACCAGTAGTTGAACAAGTTGGGTTTATTACTCATTGCAGTAAGGAAGAACGCACCCCAGGGTGAACCATGTGGTGACTCTGTAAGAGGTATAAGAACCTATCATAAGAACTGGGTTTGGGTGGGGCACCTGAGTGGTTCAGTGGGTTAAGGTCGAATCAGGTCATGATCTCAGGGTCCTGGGATCGAGCCCCGCATCAGGCTCCCTGGGAGCCTGCTTCCCCTTCTCTCTCTACCTGCCTCTCTGCCTACTTATGATCTCTGTCAAATAAATAAATAAAATCTTAAAAAAAAAAGAATTGGGTTTGGATTGGATCATCTGGGGAAGTTTTGAAGGAAACAGGGGTTTGCTCCAGATTAGATGCTAATCTAATTTTAGCAATTAATTTCAGATTTTTAATCTAATCTCATTTTAGCCAAGAGAGGAAGATGTTTAGGATTTTGTGACCTTGTTTTTTGTCCCTGCTTAAGTAAAATTACAAAGTGGCTTTGTTTTGTCTCCTTTCATCATGGTGGCTGAGTGACCTTGATGTCGGTATCGAAGTTCTGTGACATTGTTTATGTCCAATAGGAGAATAAAAAGGCCTAGCATGGGTGCCAGTCCAGCTCTGAATGTCAGGGGCTGCTCTTTTTTTTTTTTTTTTTTTAACATGCAGTCCTTTCTCCCAACTAGACTATGATATGCCACCAGAGATGATGGCCCTTGCTTCTCCATCCTTGGAAAGGTCTTACATGAGGCATTATATGTAGGTGTGTTTTTTGTTATTTTTTTTTAAAGATTTTATTTATTTATTTGGCAGACAGAGATCACAAGTAGGCAGAGAGGCAGGCAGAGAGAGAGAGGAAGGGAAGCAGGCTCCCTGCTGAGCAGAGAGCCCGATGCGGGGCTCGATCCCAGGACCCTGGGATCATGACCCGAGCTGAAGGCAGAGGCTTTAACCCACTGAGCCACCCAGGCGCCCCTATATGTAGGTGTTTAGTAAATACTTCCTGATTGACTAGAGGTCAGGAGTGCTGGTCTGGAACTTTTAGAGAGCCTCAACTTATGGCCATTTACTTTGAGCCTGGTTAATTAATCTTTTGCTGTCAAGTTTCTCCTGAAGCGGCATATATAAGGAGTAGGTTTATCTCAACTTCAGATTAAAGGTCAGGAGAGGGGCGCCTGGGTGGCTCAGTTGGTTGAGCAACTGCCTTCCGCTCAGGTTATGATCCTGGAGTTCCGCATTGGGCTCCCTGCTCGGCGGGGAGTCTGCTTCTCCCTCCGACTTCCCCTATCTCGTGCTCTCTCTCTCTCTCATTCTTTCCCTCTCAAATAAATAAATAAATCTTTAAATAAATAAAATAATCTTTAAAAAAATTTAAAAATTAAAGGTCAGGAGACTGGTTTTAGTCCTGTCTCCTCCATTAAGTTGCATGACCTTGGGAAAGCTAGTTAGCTGCTCTAGGCCTTAGTTTCCACATTTAAAAAAGAATGGACTTAGCTTCAGTATCTAAAGGCCTTTCCAGCTCTGAAATTTTGGAAGAACATGCATTTTCTCTTGCATCTCTTCTGCCTTTATGGAAAGTGCTAAAGGATACACAGTCACACAACATTATAGAGGGGAGTAATTACTCAACAAATGGTGCTGTAGTTGAGCTTTTTAAAATTGAAGAAAAGTGGGGCGCCTGGGTGGCTCAGTGGGTTAAAGCCTCTGCCTTCAGCTCGGGTCATGATCCCAGGTTCCTGGAATCGAGCCCCGCATCGGGCTCTCTGCTCAGGAGGGCCCCTGCTTCCCTTCCTCTTTCTCTGCCTGCCTCTCTGCCTACTTGTGATCTGTCAAATAAATAATACATAAAATCTTAAAAAATTAAATTAAATTAAATTAAAGAAAACTGATATTTTAATCTTATACTATGAATCAGTATTAATTCCAAATGGATTAAGGCGTTAAATGTAAACATTAAGACCTCTAAAAGGAAGAAAATATAAAATTTATCTCTGGAGGAGAAAAGATTTACAAATTTATAATGATGTTAAAACTATGAAAATAATATTATTAGATTTTATAATATAAAAATGAAAAACTATATACTTAGAAATATTAACCAACTTAGAAGACAAAATTGAACTAAGAATATATTTTCAACAAATGGTTGATACCCTAAATATAATCCCATCTCAGTCCATCTACCTATTTCACTCAAGTCTTGACTCAAGTCAGGGTATGAACTCTGCCAGGGAGGAAGTGTGTAAGTCCATTAGCTGGGAACAACGGATTCCTCTAAAACCAAATTAGATGATTCCTTCTGAAGGCTAAGAAACTACTCAATAGCTTCTCTCCAATAGTTCAAGAATGGAAAGATTATTATTGATATAATAATAACTTGTATGTATATAAAATGTCACAGTATGAAAAAGCATTTACCCCATTATCTTGTTTGATTCTTGGAACAACACTGGAAGATAGCTAGATAATTATTACTCAATCTTCACAAATGATAAACTGAGGCATAGAAATGATAAGTAACTTTCCTACAGTCACATCAGTGAGTAAATGTTAAAACCAACTCTAGACCTCAGATTGGGACTCTACCTCAGTTTTGCTCTCTTTATAGCAAGGATTACAAATTAGAGATTTTCTACATTGCCTTACAGATTTATTTTTTTTTTTTTGAAGATTTTATTTATTTCTTTGACAGAGAGAGACACAGCAAGAGAGGGTACACAAGCAGGGGGAGTGGGAGAGGGAGAAGCAGGCTCCCTGCCCAGCAGGGAGCCCGATGCGGGGACTTGATCCCAGGACCCTGGGACCATGACCTGAGCCAAAGGCAGACACTTAACGACTGAGCCACCCAGGTGCCCCGCCTTACAGATTTAAACCAGTGGATAGCACCATGCTCTATTATTGAGGTGAGACCAGTGGAAAAATAAAAACATTAAAATTTTGTTGGGATGATGACACCTTGACAGGATTTATGGTATTAAATACCCAAATATTATTTGCTATGTTTTTTTTCAAAAGACATTTTTAGTATTATAAAGCATTTTTTAACAGAATGAGAATAAAATAGTTATTTCTGCATAATTTTCAGAATTACACTTGAAGTCTTGATTAAGTACATTTTGAAATCAATAAAATGTCTTGGACTGTTGCCTCAGAAACATCCCAGGAAGCCTGCTCTTTTAAAGTGTGTCAGGCTTATTACCTCTTAGGAGATGACCTGGCCCTTTGAAAGAAGTCTCTCTTTTTTGTTCATTCTTTGAAGGCTTAAATTTATCAGGGTTCATTATATACCTTCTAACTCCTTTTTTACCACTAACTCCTCATTTACCACTTCAACATTCAGTTCTGACTGCACCCATGTCAATTTTGTCTGTTCTTTTCCAAGTAGTTTTAACCATGTTAAATTGTCCAACTTCTTTCTTCTTGGGAGATTTTTACTACTTTTAATTAAGTCTGAGCTATACACAATTTTTATGACCCTGTCCCTACTTGCATTAGCCATTGCCCAGTGGAAATCGGGGAACACCTTGCAATTCACATGGCCCAAAGTGTCTCCATATTGGATCACTCTACTTTCTCAGACACTGGTACAATTAAAGGGACAGGAGTCATGTGGACCTAAAAGTCACGGAGAACCCCAAGGCCTCGAAGAACACGGAGGTAACCACGAGCAACCCTAGAACCTAAAGGCCTCGGTCACTCATTGGAGGCTGCGCATGTCAATCCTCGCTTCTCGACAAATGAGTCTGGGTGTCCGGCAGCGGGGCCGCGGCCCACTGTTGACGCTTCTGGCCCCGCCCCCCGTCCCTGGTCTAGGGGCCCCTTTGGAGCCCTGTCCACTGTTACCGGAGGGGACGCCTGGGTGGGCCGCTGGCGACATCCGCCCCCTTCCCTTCCCGTCGCGGGCCTCCACTGGCACCGCCGCAGACTGTCGTCCCCTCCGTGGCCGGCTCCTCGGCCTCCCAGTCCACCTCACGTCGGGCCCGCTGCCCACGGCCTCCCGACAGCGGCGGCCCCCTCGGCGGCCACCATCTTTGCGGTTGGCTTTGCCTCAGCCCGGTCGCCGCCCCACTGAGGTACTGCTTGTCGCCATGTCCTCCTCCGGGGATCCCGGCCAGGCCCCTGGCCAGGATAGCCCCGCGAGCGCTGTGGGGGCAGGGTCCCCGGAGGCCGGAGGCGGCAATGGGGTGGCCCCTGGGGTCGGGTTTCCCCAGATTGAGGTGGCTGGAGTGGCGGGGCCCGAGGTGGCCCTCGAGTCCGGGTTGCCCGAGATGGAGGTGGCCCTCGAGTCCGGGTTGCCCGAGATGGAGGTGGCCCTCGAGTCAGGGCCCCCCGGGATGGAGGTGGCCCTCGAGTCAGGGCCCCCCGGGATGGAGGTGGCTCTCGAGTCCGGGTTGCCCGAGATGGAGGTGGCCCTTGAGTCCTGGCCCCCCGAGATGGAGGTGACCCTCCACTCTGGGCTGCCCCCAATGGAGGTGTCCGAAGTGGAGGGGCCCGTGGGAGGCCTCGGGGAGGCTGCCTTGGGTCTGGGTCTGGCCTGCGGCCCGGCGGGCGTGAGCGCGGAGGCCGAGGACGACGACTCGGATTTCGGGCCGGCGGAGGAGGACGGGGAGGAGCAGCAGGAGGAGGGTCTGGAAATCCTTGTGGACGCCCACCAGTTCCCAATGGTTGGCTTCCGCTTCATGTTCCTGGACCTGGTGCACTCGCTCCTGCACCGGATCTACCACAACAACCACATCCTCGTGCGGCCCCGCCGCGGCCGCGTGAGGGTCCGGACTCGGGCCCGGCAGCCCGACAGCCCCCGTTGGCACCCCGCAGCCCCCGCAGGCCCGCCGGCGTGGGCAGCTCCGGCCGCGGCCCGGGAGACCGAGGCCTCGTCCGAGGAGGAGGCCGCCTGGGAGACGGCGGAGGAGCCGGACGAGGAGTCTGAGGAGGGCCTGGCGACCGCCAAGGGTGAGGAGGGACCCGGGAGGCCGAGGAGCGGGGGCGGCGGGGAGCCCTGCGGGTGTCCCCGACGCGGAAGCCGGGGTTCCCCCAAACCCAAGGCCGAGGGCCTGAGCGGGAGCCCCATTCCCTGGGGACCTACAGCTTTTGAGAAGGAAGCGTGAGGCCCTCGGGCAGCCTCCACTAAGACAGCTGAGGGCCCCGGGGTAGCGGGTGAGCCACAGGCCACTGTCCGCCTGGGTGGCGGGGCGGGGCGGGGGCGGGGCGGGGCGGGGGCGGGGCCTGAAGGAAAAGAGCCAGCCAATGGCACACCTCGTTTCTGCGCGTGGCTTTGAAAATGTCCAGAGTCTCAAAGTTCATCCCGCATCATTACGAACTGACGCGCGTGGGCCTGGTACAAGTGAAATATTCAGGGGTTGAGTGAACGCGTATTGCCATAGAATGTGTCGTTGAGGCAAAACATTTTTGCGAGAAATTTCTGACAAAACCTTAGAGAAGGCCGCAGACCCTGATGATTCTGATCCCTTCTTCTCGGAAGGGCCAGAAATAGTCAGCTGCACAGGGTGACTGGGAAGAATGTCACCCTGAAAGTAAGGGATCGAGCAGCAGAGCTATCAACCTGGAGGAGGCTTCCCACCTCTGCTTTTCAGAGTGACTTCTACGCTCCTGCTTGGGGGAGAGGACTGGGTGTCACTAGTCCTTATGCATCGGGATGGTTTTCCCTGGGAATGTCTGCTCCAACGTCTGTCTTATTCTTTACCAAAGGAACAACTAAATATCAGTATGAGAAGCCTGCCGAAGGGGCCAACGACTCTGAAAGGGAGGAAGAAAAAGACAAATTTAACAAAAAGCAAGAAGGACCCAACTAAAGAAGATCTGCCCCAGCAGGGAACAGCCCCAGATCAGGTATCACAATAGCTTTGCACATCACCCCAACTTTCCTGGCATTTACCTGCTACTGACAGTCCTTCCCCCCCCCCAATTCTCCCAATAAATTAAGAAGTTTGTTTAGAATTAGTTTAAAAATTTAGTTTCACCAGCTTAGACCATTAACAGAAAACTCATGTACCTAGTAATAGAAAATATAGTATATTCTGAAATATATTTCACGGTTGCTCATTCGTACTTGTGAGGTCTTTTGTCCTCTACCTGAAAGACTACTAGCAAGTGGTAAATGTCTCAGTAACTGAGAAAAATATTTCTTTAGAGAACAGTTAGAAGCAGTAAGGAAATTGGCTGGCTGGGCACTAGTCAGACATAGGAGAGACAGTGCCTTTGCAAACGTGATTACATACAAATAGCAAAAAGTCAAAAATTCCAAGTAGGACCACACAATGATTAATACCTAGATATTCAGGTGTGGATGTTTGTATTTTATGTGACAGTCCAAAGACACTTAGTCATCATATGGCTATTACTTATCACTGAATTGGCAATTAGGTCTTGAGGAATATCTTATCTTTGAATATTTGGAAAGATGTACATTTCTTTGCATTTTCACAGCTGTGTATTTCATAATCACAGCCTCATTCTTGTATGGTAGATAGAGAAACTGAGGGTCTGGGAGAGTAAGGGAGTATCATTTGTGGAATGAGCAGAGGCTTTTAAGGTGAAGAGATTTCCACTAATTCCAGAGTGGCCTTTAGGGGTGGGGGTGTGGGGGCAGGGGGGGATTTATGGTGTCAGGCCAGAGGGAGGCAAGGTTGGTATGATCCCAGAATTGAAGCCATGGGTTGCACGAGCACCCTCTACACAAGGGCACAGGTTACAAGAGGAAAGTGTGTTGTCTTCTCCTTGCTGAGATACAGCACACAGATGGAGCCCACGGACACAGGGCTCTGTTCATAGGTCTAGAAGGTCACTGGTGCTGGTTAATGCTGCCTCACGGTTCCTTTTCTCTCATTTCATCCTGCAGTTGGCATAAAAGAAAGAAGATGAAGAAAGAAGAAAGAATCTGTTGTTTGTTATTTTTAGGTTTTTCATTTTTTAGAAGCCCATGGGAATTTTATTAACACTGATGTCATTCCAAACTGCATCATCCAAAAAGTGATATCCAATGAAATGTGACTCCTTGCTTATGTTTGACAGATATATTTGATAGCATTTGTTCAAGTTAAAAATAAGTTTGTTTTAAATTAATGCACTGGAATGTAGGCAGATTTTGCTTAGATAAATTATCTTGACTCAGATCTCTCTTTTTCCTCTTTGTTTTGGCCCACTGTACCTTCACTGAAAGGTATCACTCTCCACCATTTGGTGAGCCTGTTTTAAATTAATTTCTTACAGCCCCAAATAAAAGAAAATGTCAAGTTTAAAACAATTGTTGTAAGGAGAGAGATGTAGGTCAAGTTTTTAGAGCTACACTGTCCACGACATTAGTAACCAGCCGTATGTGGCGACTGAAATATGGCTAGTCTAACTTGATATGTGCTGTTAAATATAAAAATGTTAAATTAACTCACTGATAATTTCATATGGATTACATGTTGAAACGATAATATATTGAGTTAAAATGTACTATTAAAATTAATTTTCCCATTTCCTTTCACTTTTTAAAAAAGGTTTTATTTATTTATTGGGAGGGGGAGGCGAGGAGCAGAGGGAGAGGGACAAGCAGACTCCGTGTTAAGTGCAGAGTCTGACGTGGGGCTTGGTCTCAAACCCTGAGATCATGACCTGAGCCGAAATCAAGAGTCCCATGCTTAACCACCTGAGCCACCCAGGCACCCCTCTTCTTACTTTTTAATGTGGCTACTAGAAGACTTAAAATTACACATGTGACTTGCGTTATATGTCTATTAGACAGTGCTGCTCTAGAGTATGGTTTTGTTTTGTTTTGTTTTAAAGACTTTATCTACTTATTTGAGAGAGAAAAAGCCTGACCAGGGGAGGGGCACAGGGAGGGGCAGACTCCCCACTGAGCAAGGAGCCAATGCGGGCTCAATCCCAGAATCCTGGGATCATGACCTGATCCAAAGGCAGACGCTTAACCTACTGAGCCCCCCAGGTGCCCTAGAGCCTGGTTTTGAAGGAAACCTCCCTGCTGGCTCCACTGGCCTTGAGGCCAGATGGTGCTGCTGAGCCTGGGCCCAGACACTGACTTAGAGCGGTGGTTCTCGTAGTTCGGTCCCCGCAACAGCATCACCCGGGAATTCTTAGGTTCTACCCAAGAGCTACTGAATCAGAAACTCTGAGGGTGGGACGCCTGGGTGGCTCAGTTGGTTAAGCGACTGCCTTCGGCTCGGGTCATGATCCCAGCATCCTGGGATCGAGTCCCACATCGGGCCCCTTGCTCATCAGGGAGCCTGCTTCTCCCTCTGCCTCTGCCTGCCATTCTGTCTGCGTGTGCTTGCTCTCTCTCCCCCTCTCTCTCTGACAAATAAATAAATAAAATCTTTAAAAAAAAAAAAAAAGAAACTCTGAGGGTAAGGCCAGCACTCTGGGTTTGAACGCACCCTTCAGGGACGCTGATGCAGCTGAGGTCTCAGAAGCGCTGGTTAATAGCCACAGGGGAAGAAGCCAAGACTCACTTATGGTAGAACCAGCCTTCATTCACAGGCTTGGGACTGGCAGGTAAACTGAACAAGATGGCAAGGGCTGGCCAGGGGAGGAGGCCAGAACACACAGGGGGCTGAGACACAGGGGGGCTCCGATGGGGAGATGGTGGCTGAAAGCTGCATAAGGAGCTGCTTCCAGAAGGATACAGACATGATACCACATGTATGACGTCTAAAACACATGCAAAATGACCACCAGGTCTGGACTGTAGCTACAGATGTCTGGGGGAAAGGCACACACAGGAGAGAAGCATACAAGTGCAGCATGTGTGACAGCATGCGCAGGGAAAGGCAAAGAACTCATTTAGGATGGTGGCCATTTCTTGGGGAAACAAAGGGAGGGGAATCCTACTGGGGAGGGCACTGCAGTGGCTTCAGCTGTATTTGTAGTATTACCTTTCTTAAGCTGGGTGGTGGGTACATAGGTCTTGATAGAGTATTCTATCAAGAGATCTGAAATATTTCATTATAATGAAAATAGAAGAAAGGGAGAGAATACACTTAATTTCTGGACTCTGTTTCAGCAAAAAAAAAGATAAAGTCATAGTTGACTCAAATAGAGGATCAGAGAAGGGGAAGGGCCCAGGGGTTTCAGATAAGAGGGCTTCATTTCTGCATTTTGTTAAGATTTTCTGGGTGCCCCTTGGTGGCATGAGATGCCTTCTTTCACGTTCTCCACTAGCACAGCTCCTATTCTCATATATATAATCTAATATATATATATATATATATATATAACACCAATCCCTAGGTTGAACCTCTGAATGGTTGGGACCTTAAAAGGTTTTATCTTTCTTTCCCAAAGCTCTAATTAGGTACTCAAATAATGTCTGCTAAACTGAAGTAAACTTAACACTCCCACAACTCTGTTTTTGGTCACCAGTGTTGAAATTTTACAACGTATTATCACGGAGGATTCCTTATGGCTAGAACCACATGGTGAAATAGAAGGCAGAAGGCTCTTCGTCACCATTATTTAAACTGGAAGAGCAGGCCAAGGTAGTGTGATCTGAGGGCCTTCAAACTGGTTCTGGTTAGTGTTTATGCTGTGCTAGTTGTGGTAGACTATTGCTTTAAGACCCAGGCAAGAGGGACCCATGTCCTGAGGCCCCACTTTGGTCCTCTTCTGGCCATCCCCCTCCCTACAGGACCCAGTCCACCGAAACAAGGGATGTGTCCCTGCTAGCCCACACTCCAGGGCCCTGGCCCCCAGAATCGTCCCAAGCCCATTGCCAGGGCCTGCATGCTCCTCTTGGAGCTGTCCTTGGAAGGGCTGATTGCACTGCTGGCGTGTGTGCTCTTGGGCCTAATGGGGAGGAGGTCACGTGCCTGAAACAGGGGATGGGGCTGGAGTCAGGGTAGGGGGGCAGCTCTTCCTACATCATTAGAGCAGAACTTAAAGGAGTCTGAAATTCTAAATCCTTTCAGGTCATTATGAAGGTACATGTGTCATGGAAAGAGATTATATCATTAAATAAAACATGCTGTATTTGGTGACTTAAACATTTGAAATATTTAGACATAGGGTATGGGGATCCCCAAACAAACTCTTTTTCTGACCCCTGCAAATTTTACAAATATTACAGGCAAGCCAGGTTAAATACCTAATGTCACTCCTTTCCCTTCTTCAGTCCATGTTACACTTTGTTCCCTGAGCACAATGGGAACTTTCCTTTTGGTAATGGCATGTTCCAGTAGCCCATCTTGCTGTGGGACTCAGATGTAGTCCCTGAGCCAGGCTGGAGTATGACCACCATCTTGCCCCCTCTACTCAACCCCTCTGCATTCTCTCTCCCACTCATCTCTTTGTTCTCCAGGTGTTTATACACATAAAACTTCCTCTTAAACACCTTCTCCCCAACACAGTCACCTAGAAGCCATCAGCTAGGTTAGGCACACCTGTGTGGAGGCACTTTCTGCCCTGCATAATCTCTCTTTTTTAAAAGTTTATTTTATTTTTTTAGTAATCTCTATATCCAACAAGGGGCTCAAACTCACAACCCCGAGATCAAACTTTGCATGCTCTTCCGACTGAGCCAGCCAGGCTCCCCTGCCCTGAACAATCTCTTAAGATCATTTTGCTTCTCTGACAACCCCCAGTTGTCAATATCTTATTTGATTTAGACTACGGAACAGGTTCTGTTGTATTCGTTTTTCATATAGCAAAGATCAAAGAAACTGAATAGTTGTAAGAACATGCCTCTGAGCATTAAAAAAAAATAACCTCTTCATTTAAAAACAGAGTTGTTAGCTGTGTGAAAAAAATTCTTAATGGAGAGCTCTGACAGAATAGCCAAAGAGAAGTCCATATTGAGAAAGGA